GCCTACGCCATAAATGACGCAAGTTGGCAAAAGCTAGACGAGCCTTCTGTATCCGTGCTGAGATTTCGTCACATACCAGACCACAAGGGCTGATGAGACTCCCAAGATAAGTGAAGTGGTCTACACGCTCAACTACTTCACTCCCTATCATTAGTTCAGGTGTCGATGCAACCCAATCCTGAAGTAACATTTTGCACTTCGAGGGAGAGAATCGCATCCCGAACATGCCTGCATTGTTGCTTATAGTGGTCAGAAGACTCTGCATTTTGTCAGCATCTTCACCGAGTAAAACTATGTCGTCGGCGTATTCTAAGTCAACAAGTGAGCCTCCTGGTAAAAGTTCAACTCCTGGAGGTTTAGCTGATGAAAGCGCTATCTCTAAAAGTATGTCAATGACAAAGTTAAGCAAGAATGGGGAGAGTGGACAGCCCTGACGAACATCACTTGAGGTAATCAATTCTGATGACAGTTCGCCATAGGCTCTAACTCGACCAGTTGTGCTCGAGTAGAGAGCCTTTATGAGGTTAATGTACTTCTTTGGTATTCCTTTCAGTGACAAACATTGCCATAGAACCTCACTATCAACGGAGTCAAATGCCGCCTTAAGGTCAAGAAATACTACTATTGTGGGACGTCTGAATTTGTGTCTATGTTCTAGAACCTGACGTAGGGTGAATATCTGGTCTATGCAACCACGTCCAGGTCGAAAACCAGACTGGTTTTCTCTAGTCTGCTCTTCACGAGCTTTGGTTAGGCGACCTAGTATTATATTTAAGCTAATATTTTAGACACTATATTAGTCAAACTGATTCCTCTGTGATTGTCACAGGACTTTTGTCCTTTCTTATAGACTGGCACTATCAGTGATTGGGACCAGTCAGATGGAATTACGTTCAGTTCCCAGATTCTACCTAAGACCTCAGTCAATCTCACTGCTAGTACTGGACCACCATCCTTAAAAATCTAAGGGGTCAACCTGTCAGGGCCTGCTGCTCTCCCTCGCTTCAGATTTCCTATAGCTTTTTCAACCTCACAGAGGGTTGGAGGACATACCTCAATTTGCCATTCAGGATGACTGGAGATTGTGGGTAATTGAAGTGTGGCTGAAGGCCAGTTGAGCTGATCCATAAAGTGTTCTGTCCATCGATCCAACCTCTTGGATTTTTCTGGTTAGCGTTTTTTTAGCGAGTTGATTTTCTACGGGATGGGGTCGCTAACCCCATGCCCAACCCTCCTCCTTTACCCGGGCTTGGGACCGGCAGTAGCCCCTGGAGGAGCAACAGGCGGAGTTAACCTCTTGGATTGAGAATGAATAATATGCTCATCTTTATCTGAGATGGTTTCACTGATATTCGGGTTCCTAATACCGGTTTCTTTAACGAGTCTGAATAGCTGTCTACTGTTACCTATTGCCGCTGCCTTTTCCATCTCTCTTGCTTTCGCTACCCACCACTGTTCACGATCATTACGTATACTTCTTATAAGCCTGCGCTTAAGTTGACTCCACTCTTCGTTATGCTCAGAGCCAGGTGGGATGAGTTTACGAGCATCTGTCAGTGCGGTAGATGCTGCCGAGATCCATTGTTTCTCCGTAACGTTATGGTTTACCTTATTAGCGGATATCACAGCTGTTTCCACAGCTTTTCGGATGTCATTCCATGCTGCTTCGGGGTGGACACAACTTACATGGCTGCCTAACTGTTTCCCAGTTGTTCCTGAAATATATTCTTAGCTTGCTTATCATTAAGTAGAACCCTTAGAGGCTTCCCTGCAGTGTCTTTCCTACGACCAGTAAGACGCAGACAGATACGAGCTCGCACTAGAGCATGATCTGAATCTAAGCATGTGCCCCAGAATGAGCGACAGTCTTCTATCGAGCCCCTCTATCGGTGGCTGATAGCGATGTGATCTAGTTGGGTCCAACGTTGGGACGAATTCGGGGGTCGCCATGTCAAAAGATGTTTTTCCTTATGCTTAAAGTTAGTATTTGCAAGAAATAGGCGGTTATCTGAGCACAGTTGCAACAGACGGTCGCCATTATCTGTTCTTTTCGCCATGACACCATAAGATCCACCCAGGTGTCTTTCCCTTTCACTTAGTTTACCTACTTGAGCATTAAAGTCACCTGCTACTATTACTACATCAGAACGCCTAGCTTCTCGGAGAAGGTCAGAAAGTTTCCTGTAGAACTCATCTTTTATATCGTCTGAGCTGCAGTCAGTGGGAGAGTAGGCAGAGATGACGAAGAGGCAACGACGAGTTTCCCTATCTTTCCGGGTCCTTACTGATCCGTTTAGCCGGACAGCGCATAGACGACTGTCTACTGGGATCCAGTCTAAAAGAGCTAGTTCTGCCCTACGACTTAATGCTATACCTACTCCAGCGAGGCCACGGGAAGCAGCGTCAGGGCTTCCAGATACACGGAGCGTGTATCGAGATGAAATTTTATTTTGATTAGGTGCGGTCAAATGAATGACACTACTCGGATCTTGTATGCGCGTTTCGGAGACGCAGCACACATCGATGGTGTAAGATTCTAAAGTCCTAGCTAAGGAAGCCTGTTGTCCTATTTGGCATAATGTTCGGACATTAAAAGTTCCTACTTGTAGTTTAGAGCGTGGTTTCAGGAGACCAGGAATAACGTTCTGTGTACTCGAATCGTTTGCCCTAGCGGTGCGAGGTGATAAAAGGACGTGGGAAGGGTTAGTCGAGGAGATAACAGAGTTATTAGGTGTAGGAAGGATTTGAAAGCGACCAACTTGGTCTTGTGTGCAGTTAAGGGTATGAGGGCTAGTATCACTTCCCGGCTGCCCACACCGTGGAAGGGTATTTCTTGAGGGACCTGAAAAAGAAGTTGGATTAGTGTTGGTCTTAACGACCTGGGAGCGTGACCGCAGTGCCCAAGGGACATCTGCTTGAGGCCGGTCACGCACGGCCTTTTTGTGGGGGATTTTTGACGTGCTAGCTCCGTTCTTCAAAAGCCCTTACCGCCGGAGACGGAAATCCGTGGGATAAGGCGAGGTGTGCATTTTTAGGGTCGACCTTTTCTAACCCCACCCCTCCTTGTGGGAAGGCAGCATCGCTGTCATGCTGGTTGTCTGAAGGAAACACCTTACTGCCGTCACACCTCTGTACAGTCAGCAGTACGACTTCGCCTTCGGACCTTGGGATTGCTGCTTTTAGTCTCACCGCTCTTCAACCGACCTGTCTGGCATGGTAGGACCTTGAGGAACGATTGTTCCAGCCAGCATAGCTCGATTGGATCATCACGATAGGCAAGCCTGACCACCACGTCAAGGTAGCAGCAACGGTCGGGTGGTCATTAGACTTAAGGGAATTTGCCTAGATTTATCTATTTTGTTGTTTACTTCAACTACGTTTACAGAACGATGTTACTTGATTACTTATATTTGTTACCCCACGTGGAGGAGTATATTAACTCTTCATTTATGTGTTACTTATTTTTATATGATCGAAAAAAACTAACATTAGAAAGGTTTACTCAGGAAAGTATTAAATGATGTGAGCGTAGAAGGTATAATTTAGAGTTTAATGGACCCGATTATCATGTTCAGTCAATTATTGTCAAAATACAAATTGCTATACTTCATGGCCTTCTATTATGCTTTTAAATAACTTCACCATAAAACTAGTTAGTTGTGAAAGTACACTTTTTATCAAAATGTTTGTTAAAGAATTATAAAAATATAAATCTTGATCTCCTACATGTAAGGAAAAGATTAATAACTAGGTCTCCTTTCTAGGCATATTGATTAGTGGGAGAGACGATGGTTCCATCAAACGTCCTGCATATAGAAAACTGACATGGACAGGGCAATATCTTAATTTCTAAGGTCAGTATTCAATTCATTACAAACGTGGATTAATAAAGGGCTTATTCAATAAGATCAGTCGTATTTGTACTAGCGATACTATTAAACGAGACATGAAACTCTTAACTAAAACTAGTGAATATTGGTCATTCATTGAAGTATGTAAACCATTGGAAAAATAGCAACACGATGAAATGTATGACGTTTTTGACACGCAAAAAAACGAGTATATATTACCTTACCATTTAGAAGCAACTTAAATTAGTTATTGATAGGACATTATATGCAGCCCAACTCGTCATAATCAAGAAGTTAAGGTTGGTTTTTCACCAAAACCTCTAACAGCATGTAAGAGATTATGTTACTTCCCACTGTGTCTATCAATTTATATGTATGTGCAGAGACACGTACATAGGAGGGAGCAATTGTGAATTGCAAGTAAGAGTGGCTGAACGCATACAAAGTGGCTTCAAAAATAAGTAAATTTAAATTGTCGAATAAGATCACAGGATAGACAAATATCTTCCATCATTACGAAACGTTATTATTATTATTATTATTAGTGGCTTTATTCAATATCATATTTTTAGTACAATACTATGTTTGGTTGAGATCAGTGATAAAATTGATATCAAGTTAGCCTTTGTAGTCTTAAACAACAGTTTTCAAGGGCGTATACACAAGTTTAGTGAAGCCTTGACTATACAGAAACTGAAACTTCCTTCATCTGTCCAGAAACACTTTGTTCTTTCCTTTAACCTACCCTGATAACAGTGATTTATCGTCCAGTGTGATTTCTACAATGTTTTGTGTACTTGATTATTATCTCGGTTTCCGCTTACCTTTTAATTGGTTTAGTTGACCTTTTATTTGTTTACTTATAATGTCTAAAGCATATGTTTGATCAGATTATTCGAAATGTATTGCGCAAATACATCACGTACTACTGATCACTTTCGTCTTTTCATCGCGTTAACCACGTTTATCAAATAAAATCAATTAATTTTATTTCATTTCTTTTCATTATCTAGCTGTATACGGCCTAGAATTATAGGGAGTATCATATTTTCAAACAAATGCTTAGCATCATATACTTAGTAAAGTCGATAGGAATGTCTAGAGCAGAACTTTGAACTATGATGAAGAGAACAAGACACAAAATGTATGGTTAAAACATGTTTACTATTAAGATGTATTTATATTTCATAAAATAATAATAGTACGTAGAGGAAGTGGTGTTGTACTTGATAACCATCAAAGTGAGATCTGGATTACATAATCAAGATAGAAATAACCAATGACTGAATAATTACTTGACGTTATTGTATGCGTACCAATAAACGATGAAATTGATAAAATAGGGTTAAACGGAAAAGATATAAAAAGATCATTTGAATGTTAAACTAATCATCACAACACAGAAAGGCTTATCAAACTGCTCTTCCGTACGTATAGTTCCGGTGGAAAATGTATAATGCCGATAATATTTACAAAAATCGATTAAAAATTGGTGTTGGTTATCTGTTATTTAATTTAAATGTCACACTAGTGTCCACTTTTTCACCTACTTTTCCAACAGGTCCATGTTCATCGCAATTGTAAAAACTTTACCACCTTTCAGAGGAAGTTTTCTAGCGATATGTTCAAAAAAACACCAAGTAGAAACTCGTCTTTCTGTTCTTTCAATATACGTGCTACCATAAGTAGATGAAAATTCGTAAACACCGCTGAAAATATCTGATTACGTATTTTATCTTCTGTACTTACTATGACTTCAGGGTCCATCTTGAATATTCATATAGACTTCACTAACGAAATTATATCAAAAGTGTATTGATGATAATAATAATACCCTTTTTGTAATTTTAATCTATTTGTAGTTTGTGTAAAGTTATTGTTGTGAATGAGAACACAAATGAGGACAATCTAACGCATTTGAACATATAAATTACAGAAGATCTTAGTAAAATTTGTGAACTATATAGTAGATACTTCATTTGCAAAATGTCAATCAATCATCTCAGACTTTATTGTTTCTTCGCTTCCACAACAATCATTCTTTGTTCTCGTTCTGTTTTCTTTGATCTTCTTAACCTTCTACCACCAGGCATTTCAATTTCCATTGATGATATATACTACTTATATGTGTAGCACACATCACACTATAAAACACAATCAATTCATGTTTATCCGATATACCATGTTCTTTTTAATTTGTTTAAGGAGATTAAATTATATGAGACTTCAATTATTCATTAAAAAATATACCGAAATGTAATTAGTTTAATACACGCAAGTATGTTATTACATTAATATTATATTTATTATTATTGGTAATGAATAATGTAGTATATAAGATACATTCATAGGTGAAACATACATACTACATAGCAACATGAAAACAGTGCACAATCAAATACATGAACATCTTACGCACACACACACGAAGTTAAAAAATAAACAAAAATTTATTAAACTTAATAATGAATATTTTCTTTTTTGTTTTTGTTTTTCATTTTTCACCAATAAATTTGTTAAATAAAATAATTCCAGATTTCTTTTTCTGTTTTTTTTTCTTCAAAATTAATCCAATATTACTTATTTACAATTAGGATAAATTTGATCTAATTCTTCCTTAGGAACAGTTGCTACACTTAAACGACTTTTTTTATTATGCCTTTTAAAATTTTGTTGATAATCATCAGATGAAGTAATAAACTCTTGAATATGATCACCTTCTTCTTCTTCTTGTAATATTTTCTCTTCTTCTTCTTCAAATATTAAACATCCAACACCCATTATTCCAACAATTTCATCTAAAACATGACCCCATGCATTTTTTACATCATCAGTAAATTCTTCATAAATTAATCTTCCCCATGTCATTAAAATTGCTTCTTTTATTATCTAATAGAAATGGAAATAGTTGTGAATATAAAAAAAACTAAAAGAACAATTATTTCTGATACAACAAAGATAAGCTCCAGCTCTGAGAACAAAACTCTATCAAAATAAAACAACAACAAAGATAGTCTCTTTTCAAGTGTTTAGTTAAAGTAAGCTAAAATCAATAGAGTTTTTTTGTATTACTCGGATAAAAGTACGTATCTAAATGTCCATTACGTACAGAGTATGCTTGTTTTAAGATGAAGGTTGAAGGTAGTCAATAGGAATCCCTGAACCTAGGTTTCGTGCTACTTGAAACTTGACAGCAAGGTGTACCTGTAATCTTGAGAGAACTGATTCTTCCTGACAGATTCGATCCCGTATCACTCAGCTTCACAGTCAGAGACGTTATCACTGGGCTCTCTGGGCCGCGATGTATTCACAATTGATTAATCTCTAGGTGATCGATAGGATTCGATCTGTACTTAGAAGGACTTGGTACACATAACAATGACCACCACCTAGTGATAAATCGATTGTATCTTTCTTTTGCATAATTTTTACCAGATTTATATATTCCGAGCTCATGATATTGTAAATTAAATCTTTCATGTCTCTTATCAATATCACATAAATAATTATTTAGTTACTATCAATTATGTATAAAAAAGGGCTGTGAAATCGTAAATAAATGAAAAAGATTTTGTATTCATATTAACTAAATTTAAATTTTTAACTCTCTGAATAATATGTCTGTGTTTCAAAGGTATGCATAATTGTCTAAAGGTGTCTAGGTCGTAGTTGTTCTATCTGGAAGGTTTTAGGGTACACAATACAGTAGCGTCTCAAATTATAAAGAAATGGTATTCCAAAGATTGATATTTCCCAGTGGTTATTTATATATATTCAGGTCGTAATCTAAAATACAATATGAACATTATTCACAAACCTTCTTCGTCAATAACATGAAGATCAATTACCAAACAGTCAATTTCAACGGTTTGTTGTTGTTAACAGTAATGGAGAATATTAAAATCAGTCAAAGTCAGTTTTTGCGTTTTAAGATTATTAGGTGGAGCATAACTACTTGTCTAATTTAAAATATGGAATTATTCTAATAAGAGAGGGAATATTCATGAAAGACTATTCTTTACTTTATTGAACTAATTTCTAATGCAGGTATTTTTTATATCAATCTTCTTTCATCGAATCTTATTGTACAGTTTACATTATCCGTTGTTAGTACTTGTGTTCCACATGTATACAGACGATTGCCAGCAGCATTTTATTAAATGAAAAGAGAATATGAGAATAATCTGTTTGCCCCAGGAAAAATAGTTTACAGCCCATTGCTTCAATCCAACATTCTTTAGAAATCTTCATGTGAAAACATTTCTGATTACAGAAAACTTATGTACATATATTTGGTTATTAGGATTGCATAAATTTTCACCAACTTTCTTGATGACAACTAAAGAAATTTAACACTGTTAGGTACCATTAAATGTTAGTAATATTTGATGGTTGTAGCTGAGTTGCCAAGCATTATGAATCCGTGTTCAGCTAGAAATTCCTTTTTTGTTCACAAGTATTGGTAAAAATAAACCAGTTGGTAGCTACACTTACGTTTAGTGTAACCTAAAAATTCACAAATAAATAAATTACAATCTTATTTAAAGGTGATTAATCTTATGATTAAACATAATCGATTGTACAAAGCAATATACAAGAATCTGTCAAATCAAGCTGTCAGTCAGCTGAACGCCGGGAATACCCAACTTAACGAAGAATGAGAACTGTAAACTTATAACTTATTATCTACTTCATATTTGTCTTACTCGATTGCATATCCCATTTAATCAATCATAGTACAGATAAGTAATTTCATTATAAGATGAAATTAGTTTTTAATTAATTAATTTCTAAAAAATAAAACTTCTATGATTAGTTTATAATTAACTACGTTGTATAGAATATAGAAGATTTCATAACTAACCTTGAAATATTCAATTTTCATGTTACGTATAGCAGCGTGTTTTGCTCCAAGTAATGCTAATTCTTCATATAATGATTTACTATCACCTTCTAATGCTTTAACAGCCATATGTATTACTCTCATAACTTTGGCTGAATGTCTTTTACAATCTGGACTATCCACAAGTACATCAGGACTTAGATGACTAGAAGTATGAAAAATTATACACAATAAATTATAGAGTCTTCACTTTGTGATTTCAACTTGTCATGATATGTAACTTACAAATTTATACAAAAAGTGTTTTATAAAATTAGTTTTCAACACGTACTAACATCAAATGATTGTTCAATGATAATAACAAAGTAAGTAACATATGATCTATCCTAAGTTGAAACTTCTCAATTGTACACTTATCAAATAATTGTAAATTAAACCCAAAAATATTTCGGTCTTATAGTGGCCTACTTGCTTACTTACGTATATTATCCCTCATGAAGGAGCATAGGCCGCTCACCAACATTCTGCATCCAACTCTGTCATGGGCGGTCCTTTCCAGCTCTTTCCAGTTAACATTCATCCTTTTCATATCTGCTTCTATTTCCCGGTGTAATGTGTTCTTTGGCCTTCCTCATTCCTGCTTCCCTTCACCATTCCAAGTTACGGATTGTCTCGTGATGCAATTTGGTGATTTCCTCTATGTATTTCACATCCACCACTTCGAACGTCTTTCCCTAATTTCCTCTTCATCTGTAAGCTGATTTGTCCTCTCCTATAAAACACTGTTGCTGATAGTAACCGGTCAGTGAATGTTGAGTATTTTGCGCAGGCAACTGTTTATAAATACTTGAATCTTCTTGATGATGGATGCAGTAGTTCTCTACGTTTCAGCTCCGTACAATAGAACTGACTGTCTTGATGTTCGTATTGAAGATTGTGACTTTGATATTGGTTGACAATTGTTTTTAGTTCCATATATTCTTCAATTGCAGAAATGTTGCCCTTGCTTTGTCAATCCTCGCCTTTATATCTGCATTCGATCCTCCTTGTTTATCGATGATGCTTCCCAGGTACATGAATGTTTCCACCTCTTCCAATTTTTCGCCATCAAGTGTGATTGAGATGGTGTTCTCCGTGTTGTATTTGAGAATCTTGCTTTTTCCTTTGTGTATGTTGAGGCCTATTGTTAAATCTTTCAACAATAAGAAAACTCACAATATTCGATAAATGAAAGTAATTAAATGTTCAATATGGATAACTGCATTGAACAATTGTTTTTTTCTAAAATAAAATGTCCTCAGTTTAAATATTTCTATCGAAACATTAAGATATGATATCAGTTACTTTATTTGTTATAAATTATTACAAATCGTTAAAATAAACTTGAAATTGAGACTCAATTGTTCAATAAAAAGGTGTAGGTAGTTTTAAATTCAAATATGAATATAAGTCTTTATTTCTATGGTATTATACTATTGAATTGTATAAACAATTACTGATATCTTCTATTGTTAATAACTGTTATCATCATTTAAACATTAGTTAAAAATGTATTCTCTAATTTAAGGTATACTATCTCGTTGTTTTTAGATAAGTTATTATATTGAAGAATACCTAATGAAGTTATTAGGTCCTGAGTTCGAATCTCGTGAGGAGGGATCGTAGATGCTCACTGCTGAGAAGTCCCACAACAGAACGAAACGGCCGTTCAGTGGTTCTGGGTTTTCCATGGTGGTCTAGCTTCAATTGACTCATGATTTAAAGTATTTAATTTAACATTTATTTAACATATAGATAACTGTTTATTTTTCCCACATGTCATTGTATTTAACCACATTAAATACTTAAATAATATCAGTTGCACAACTTTAATTCATCAAAATAATGACTTACTAAGTAGTATTCAACGTTTTTATTTAAAAAACCAACAACAATCAAATGAATTATATTGGCCACACTTACATGTGCTTATATTCGACTTTAGACCAAACAGTATGTTCTTCTAATCTCATCTAATTAATAAAATTCAATTGTAGCTAGACCACCATGGAAAACATTCACGATTCCGCCTCACGATATTCGAACTCAGGACCTATCGGTGGTATCGTTGGTGTGCACTGCTGAGGAATCCCACAAAATGATGAAACGGTCGTTCAGTGCTTCCAGGTTTTCCGTGGTGGTCTGGCTTCAATTTAATCATGATTTCAACTACATTAAAAATTGGTATAATATTCCCAAAAACCCTTTCCGATACTAATAAAATTCAAATGAGTAAAAGGGCATTTGAACATTTAAAATGCTTCTTTCGAAAGTGAATACCTCGTTATCACTGTATCCACCATAAATGCCATAGTAATTATTCATTATAGAAACTGTTAAACATATACCCAAGATGTCATTTTAAAAAAATATTAAAAAAAAATGATTATTATTTTGTTTCTATGCAGGTAAAATTTATTTCAATAAATAATATAAAAAAACAATCTATCATGGAAGTTTTTGTTTATATAAGTGCTACATAATTTTCTAGACATGACGATGTGAAATACACCAAGACAAAAAGGAAACTCGTATGTTGTCCCAACAACAAAAAAAGAAAAAAAAAGGAAAAAACAACCAACCAAAAAGTAAATAAAATTAAATTTCGTGTTTAGTCTAATTATTCATTTCACTAATATCACACGTAAACAGAATTTTAAAAAATTAACTGCTATTTCTTCGATTAGTTTCCAAGACAAATAACAATGAACTATATATATATATATATATATATATATATATATATATAATAGATCGTCGTTATGGTGAAGTTGTTTGGGAAACGAAAAAATATTCTTTAAATGAAATGAAGTGAAAGATTTAAACAAAAATTATTAAGTATATAATAACAAAAAGGAAATGTATGTTTCCTTTTGAAATATACACATGTATCTTGAAGAAGGTGATATTTACATGGGAAACAGTCTATATTCAAGTCACTGTATGTTATCATATGATGAAGTTTATTATAATGAGTAACTTTAGACAACAACTTTTAACAAAATAAATAATTTGTATGTTGTTTATTATTGTTTAAATGTTTATTGAAGCTTTCATTAAGAAACTTTCCTACGATTAGAAAGAATAAATATTGAAGTGATATAACAGTATTGAGATAAAGTCGGTAATTTCTAAGAAACAGTCACTAGCTGAATTGTTCTAAGCCACTGAATTAAGAAGTATTTGTTTGAAATTTTTATTTCAATCAGTTGGTAATACAGAAGAACTAAACAATAGTTTAAATTTATCTTTCTTGGCGCCACCCTGGTAACGAGTAACAGATTTTAAAAAACAGTTATTCAGCGTATACTAGTTTTAATTGGTTCACCATTTTAAAATAGACCAAGATAAAAATCAGATGAATATATCATTCAATTATGTTGCCATTGTCAAACAAACTTATTCAAATCGAGATTGTAGGCTTAACATACTGGTTACGTTTCTTAAAATAGAATAAGCTGCAATTATATATATATATATATATATATATATATATATATATATATTTATAATCAGTCAGACATCATAACATTTAACAGCTAATTGATATTCATCATGACAATCACTAAAGGGTAACAGATTCTTCAATGTAGTGTCTAAGGCATAGTCATTTATTGTGATCCTTCTTCATCCTTCAGTTTGGCTATACATAATAATCCTAATCCTTTGTAAGCTGCACCTATTCCCAAAGCCATTAACAACTTGATCATGATCTCTGATATATCTTTTATATCAACGATTAAATAATACATCAGTTCATTTAGTAGTTAACTTTGTGTTCGACAATAATCATCACGTCTATCAGCTCAGTTTTATTTAAAACTATATTTAGATAACTTTTTGTTGAGCTCATTTTTGAAAGTTCAATGTTAATTAGAAAATAACCCTAAAACTGATAGGTTATTACACAAATACATTTGATTCGATTGTGTATCATATTATGATTTAACTAAATTATATTATTACATATACAAGTTGATAAAATCAAGTTTGGATTTTTATTGAGATCATTAACCGGTTGGTGCTAGACCACCATGTAAAACCTGGAAGCACTGGACGATCGTTTCGCCGTAGTGTGGAACTCCTCAGCAGTGAGGGTCCGGGATTTCGCCCGCAAGATACGAACCCAGGACCTATCAATCTCACTCGCGAACGTTTAACCTCTAGACCACTGAGCCAGCACCCAACGGTGTTAATGACTCACATCAGGACGAAACGGCAGTCCACTGCTCTTAGGTTTTCCATGATAGTCTAGCTTTAATCGACTCATGAATTCAACTATTAAATTACTATAATATCCATAAAACCCCTTTCTGATAATTGAAGTTCTACATGTCGATTAGTAGTGAAGTGACGCTTTTCCGAGTATTTCATCTCTTATATAATCTATATTCAAAGTGAAATTGTAATAAACAAATAAAGTTTTGTATAGTTTAAGTTAGAAGTATTTCTCAATAGTTGTATTTCCATTTCAGGTAAAATTTCATTGGTGTTTATATCTAATATGCACCGTAGTTGTGAAAGATAAACATAGAAAACATATAGAGCCTTAAAAAAACTGTGTAGGAATAAATATCAGTTCTTTCAAAAGATTATTTCAATTTAAAATGATAATGAATTTGAAAGTATTCACCTATCATTATCAGATGGGGGTTTTGTGGAGATTTTAGTAATTTTATATAGTTGAAATCATGAGTCAATTGAAGCTAGACCACCATGGAAAATCTGTAAGCACTAAAAGACCGTCACGTCGTATTGTGGGACTCTTCAGCAGTGCGCATCCACAATCCCGCCTCACGAGGTTCGAACCCAGGACATATCATTTACGCGCCAGAGCACTTAACCGATAGACCACTGAGCCGGCATCCAGCGGTGTTAATGTCTGACTTCAGTCAATCCAAGAAATTGAGCGACACACCCACCAATGTCTTCAGTGAGTTACTATCTTACGAATCTTTCGTGGCGGATCGTGGACGCCGGTTGCTGAGGAGTCAAACAATACGACGAAACGGTCGTCCAGTGCTTCCAGGTTTTCCATGGTTGTCTAGCTTTAATTGATTCATGATATTAACTATATAAAATTCACTTATCAGTAAATGAAAATAAAGAACATTATTAACTAATAACAATGTATATTTCCTCAATGTCCAAACAAGTATATTGATT